AATCCATGGTATCAGTGGGTAATGACAGTTGGTGTCTCCATGCAGCAAAACCCAAATATATTTCTCTCTCTGGTGACATTGCCATGCATCCGTCCCGAGGTACGTAAGCCGAATGATGGAGGTGCCCGTGGGTGTGGCTGAAAATTTTTATCATAGTACAGAATGTATGGATTGTTCCATAACAGCATCGTGCATTTAAGTGGTTGTCTACCATTAATTTTTCATCAAGGAATGGATTCAGGCCTTGTGTAACAAACACTTATAGACCTACTCTCTTTGAAACAAAGACGCTCCATTCTTGCAAAATAATGGAGCGATGGAAACAACAGTGTGACGTCTCAGGTGGAGGTTAAGTTGCATAATACCCTCCGTACGTGCCAGTCGTGGGTAAGTATGGGCCCTTGGGCTTATTCTTACCCAAGAATGTCACGTTCCTCAGGCATTATCCTTTATGTAATTTAGAGTGTCATTTGTTACAAGGCACTCTATAATTTTTCAGGATTTTTCTGGAAATTGGATTTTTGACCCCTAAATAGTGGAGTGTGGAGAGGTTTTATTCATTCAGGTTTTGTTACCTTTTCTATGCAAGCTTCACGGACATGTAATGGTAGCCACTTGGAAGAGAATTCATGCTTTATTGGCTGCAATGGTTTTCAGGCAATTCTGTAAAGTGTGTGGCCAGAGAATGACTGTGACACATGAAAACAAGACAATCCACGATAATGTGGGAAGTCCAGGTGTCCTATGCTACAGATTGCTAGTTCCCTACAGAGACCTTTACTACGATGCTGCCATTTTTGTCTTGTCCCTTTATACCAAATGACAAAAGTGATGAGGGTAATTCCAGAAATTAGGGGTCCATTTTTTTGTGTGCCCCTGTCACACCTGACATGATTTTGTAAGTTCAGAACGCATTTTCTAATTTCCAAGAGTGATGGATTAATGCAAATTACCTGCCAAACAAATAGTAATAGTTTCAAATCAATTCCAGTGATATTTTCTTGTCAAATAACTAAGGTCAGATGTAACAGGGACACAAAAATGTCACACTTTTGGACCCCTAATTTCTGGAATTACCCATGAGGCATTACATATTGATGAAAGGAAACGGACTCATTCTTTCAGCCTCAGTTTGGTTACGTTGCTTCCACTGGTAGAAAAACAAAGTGGTTGCCCCATAATAAAGCTCAGTGGAGGTCATTCTGGGGAGACAGAGCCTGAAGTGTAGAGTTAATGTTGGCTTGTGATTTGGTTCTAGTGGAGTGAGGTTTACTGCATGGACATGTTCTACTCCCGTTTCAAGAAGGAAGGGATTATGAACCCCAAGGTGGGAGCAGATTACCGCAAGTACATCCTGCAACCAGGGGGCTCTATCGTAAGTCAATGACACCTGTGAAACATCTTACCCACAGACCACTGCTTATACGGTGCTCCTTTCAGTCCTTATTTCTGGCATTAGTACAACTGCCTTTTTTTTACAGATTTGTGCGGTCTTGTGACGCTATAAATTTTAATGACAAAGTGTTGACAATGTTTGGCAGTGCAGAGAGAATCAGTGGTGATGTGTGGACATGTGGACAGTGTAGTTGTAGTAAAATGGACCTTTATTTGAAGAGCTGTTGTAAGGAAAACACAATGGCTATTATATGCACTGTTTGGCATGCACAAGAGTTTATCCACTACGAACACAGGGAGAGGGTTCCCTTCGTTTTCTCTGAATGATGCAATCTACATTCAACATGCGCATCTTGATATGAACAGATGAAGGCCCTTTTAGCTTGTAATAGTTTCACTCTGAAGACAAATGACACTGCGTTTGATTTGGATGCTTCCATATTTATTTGAACAGATAAAATCAGAGAAAACATGTTTTCCTTAGAGGTGCTCTCTAATCAGATTAACCCTATTAAAACGGACTAGGTGGTAGGGACCTTCTCCAGCTGGGCTAGGGGTGGGGGTTATTCTACTTCCTCCCTGAAAACTTAACTGTCCCATGATCAATCTTTTTGAAATTCGTAAGACACATCCATTATGACTGAAAACTTCACTGGAAAAGCATGAGGGAAAGCTCCACTGAACATTCAGGTATTTCTGGATTTTCACTTTGGTTGAACATTTGTACAATTGTATGAATTGCAGGATGCCATGGACATGCTGAAGAATTTCCTGGGTCGTGAACCCCAGCAGGAATCTTTCCTCCTCAGCAAGGGCCTGAAAGTCTAAGCATGGTGCCCATTGGGCAAGGAGTCCACACCAGAACCGGACACACCAGCAAGTATGAGAAGAGGGGAACGTTCCCCTTTGGTGGACTTTTAGGAGCTGCTTTTCCGTCTCCTTGAACTCAAAATACCAGAAAACAAGACTGCTTGTTCAAAGTGAAGGCGTCTCATTGTTGGCTGGACATTTCTTTCTTCTGTTCGTATTGTGCAATGTGCAGGCTGCATCAGTTATTTCATGTTTGCTGATGGGCACTACACCATTCCCATTATCTTTGCATTTAAATTCACAGATTGTCATCTTGTTTGATGTATGAAAATTGCAGTCACTGCTTAATTGACCACTTGCTGCCGGGGAGCCCGTTTTTCGGGTACCTTGGGTATGTACGCATAGCCGGGGTGCCAAAATCGGACAAAAGAGCTTGGGCCTTGTAACAAACGACCATACTCGGAACAAAAGACCTAGCTGCTGGGAATTGCCAACATTTATTGCAGTTGTCAATAGCGGAGGAAATCCGTCATTGTTTTGAAAGATTATACCCCTGTTTGTGAGTGGATTACCACCAGGGACAAAAGCACTCCAGTGAGGAGAGATACAGTACGGCTGCATGCTAATCTGGCCCGTATTGAAAAGACTCCAGCAGCACACTCTGCCATTTTCGGCAACAAAAGAAACTTATGAAACACTGCACAATCTGGGCTCTTTTTACAGAGCGGCAGGCCTGATTGAAATACTCGGGCATCAATTGATGTTGTCTGTCAGATCAGAGTAGCCACCAGACAGTCACTCCATGGGGTTTAGGCATTCAGGGAAAAAAAGATATGAATTTTTGAAGATTTTTGGAAACTGAAAATTGGATATTGAAAATTGCCCGGTTTTAGACACAGCATTTCCAAAGGCACCCGGTAGCAAGCAGTTAAGGGTGCAACCTGAATGGAGAAAGGCCATTTCAGTTGTGTGTAAAATTTGTGCCTTTGCCTTTCATTTCCCCTTAAACCTCTGTCGTGAAATCCACAGAAGACATGTTCTTGTAAGAACCTCGGTTGTTGTATGTTAATCTCTCGACAGTAACTTGCATGAGGTATTGTAGCATCCAAATACACACTCTCTGAGTACGGTGTGTTCATTGCAATATGTCATGGCAATTAGTGTTCATCAGAACTATTTACTCCCTTTGTGATCATGTGTGATATCTGTGTATGATAGTCTGTGGTACGAATGAAAATTATCTGTGTATAAGCAATCTATAAGTTACTTCCAAGTGCCTACAGAAGGTGTGATTGTAATCATTTTGTCAATTCTCTCATAATGGTTTTTTTTAATTTTTGTTAGAAAGACATTGTTAGAATAGTTTATATTTCTGCACAAGTCGTAAAAGAAGAATGTTGTTTACTCAGTTGACATTTGCATTGTAAATGTCCTTATCCTGGGAGTGATTTTTTTTCAGCTCAATGTATTTCAGCTTTCTCTCTTAAATTTCTTACGGCTGAATTCACAGGATTTTTGTTTAGGCTCACAAGCCAATGCTCTTAACAAGTGGCAACCTTAAAAATGACATTAGAATTACCATTTTTAGACAAACATTTCAAGGAAAAATGTCTTTAAATTAGAGGAAATAGGGTCTGTTTCATTAATAATCCAAGTGCCTTCATTTGTTAGATTTTTGTTGGAAACCACAGTGAATCTCATCCTATGAACAATCTGCCTCAAGTTGAAGTGCATCCTCACCAGCAAAAAGACGGGCTGGTGGGAGTTTTTCAGAAGGGGCTTGTGCACATACCCAGTGCACATGTGAAGACCGTACTTTCAATTAGAAATTGTTCAGGTGTACTCAATGCACCCTGAGCCCAACTCGCATGAACCTGCGCACTCCACACGCAGGAGTTGAGTTCCTATCAAAGGACTGTTGTTGCTACTGAGAAACATGCCCTCTGTCGTTCCTGCACAGAGGGGATAGATTATCATGCACTTGACTGAGAAGCAATATTCAGTTGCATGTATATGGTGGTTAGTGGAAGTTTCCATGTGACGTGTGATTTAGTGCAGGTTTCCAGTGTTTTTTAATCATTAAACATTTGCCGATGGTATTATTCCACAACCAACTTTACCCCAGACACAGTATTATTTTCAGCCCCAAATATCCACTTTTTAAAAAAAACAAGAAGCAAAATATAGACACACGTTCTCTCTTGTTTGTCACTAATTATATTCTCTGTATTACAATAAATGTTAGCCTCAACATGGATGCAATAAAATATGAATGACACTATTAAACACATTTCAGAAACTGTGAACTTCATGGACTAATAAATCTCTATATATACTTTGGTGAGTCAAACAGTTCTTTTGAACAAACACCTATGAATTTGTGATTTCAGTTCCGTAAACATGGCAGTACATTGATAACAAAGCTCTAACAACTAGTTAAAACTAATTTATCAATACCAGCCTCACCCTTTTTTGAGTGGACTGAATTCAAGAACTTTTAAAGAACAAGATTCTAAAATGTGCAACACATGTAGCTCTTCAAGCTGACACAAGCAGAAAACAAGTGTAAGGAAAGAGGGAGTAGCAGTTACGGAACATTTAACAAATCATGATTTAACAGAACTCCAAACTCTTGACAATGAGAGTTTCATAAAATGGGCAAAGTTCCCATTCACCTCTACTATGCGGATTAAGAAAAACCTGCTCTTTCTAGCTGTGCTAAGTGTGAACATCGGCATGACTCACAAACACATATTTCATAAGAGCTGACAAAACTGAACTGGGTGAAATGGGAAAAAAGCACAAACTGACAAAATCTTCAAATCTGTTTTAACTGATTTGATCTTGCTATTTCAAACGATCCCACAATTAGCACACTGCGACAAGCCACCTTGTATAATAAAAACAAGAAGATCCTTTGTGGTTACAATGCACAGAGTTTGCATAGTTTGGTATTCAGTGATATATATATAATTATACTAACATATACATTCTATGATTAAAAATATTTCATTTACCTCAGAAGGCAAACTACAAAATGGCAACACCAATTTATGTGAACTACATAATATAACAATTTAAACAAAAAAGAATTTACTGAATCAGTACTCCATACCAAATCAGTTTTTTATGGTTCTTAATAATTATGCAGGTACATTTCACTGTAAATGGAAATACATATTTCCCTGGAGGCAGTAACACTTTTCCCCCTTTGTACTGTTCTAACAGCCCTTTCTATTACTCGAAGGGAATCACAAATACTTGAAACTGACGTGGTCCAATACCTTCCCTCTTCTACAATAAATTTAACCTTCCACTGTCCCATTTAAACATCCACCCACTCAGACACAGCAATCTGGTTTAGCATATCATGCCAAGATTTATCATGTATGAAACTAGAATTTTTCTCAGTGCAAATGTCTAAATTACTGACTTTCTCAGGAAGTCAACATCTGATTATCCTCCACACAAGGTGAAGATGTCCCCTGTCCATGTTTTAAAAGCCAGAACATATATCTTTATCTCGGGCTGTGTCCAAATGACGTGGCTACAGCTGGCAGTGGTACACAAGTTGATAGGAAATGCCACCAGCCTCAAAGTAGTGGCTTCCATACATATCGGTGCACGTCATTTCAAACCATAGTTACACAATTTGGACACTGCCTCACCCAAATGCTAGTCCAATCACCAGATCCTGGCCAAAAGCATCTGGCTACACCGGAGGTAATACTCTGGAAGTGATTTGCAGTGAGGATACATACACAAACACACTGCCATCCTCTCCCAGCCATCAACATAGATGATTCTGACAATGACGGCAAGGCAGACACTAGGAATTCACAGATTCAACTCTACTTCTGAATGCTTCTTCCTAACTGGCAAATGACTATGAAGAAACTTTACTCTGAGGTGGTTTGCCAGCGTACTGATTAAATAACTGGTTCCAGTTTTAACACAACCATGGAATTGAAGTTAAATGTTGAGGCAATAGAGAATGCCGTAACCCGTAACAAAGTCTGAAGCACGGAGTCAGTTTTGCTTCAACAGATTGGCCCATGGTTTCAACCCAATTTGCGGGGAATTTCTTCATCTGACCTTTCTCTTCACAAGTGGTGACTTGTGAAACAGCTCTTCCGCATGTCAAATATTACACAATGTTCCTAAATAAAATGCTTTCTAGAATACTTCAAGAAAAATAGAAACTGCCAATAACAAGCATTTCAGTTAAAAAGCAAGGAATCAGGAATGAGTGAATCTGCAAAATGCAACACAGCTCAAGTCAAACAAGGAAAGCGTTCATTCAACAGTGTTAGTAATAAACACAATTTATGAAACTTACATTTACACAATTTGTAGCTGTTAAATAGACTGCATAACTGCAATACAACATGGTACAGTTTGAGTTCAATGTATCAGGACGTAGATATTTCCAGCTAAAAGATAAAGATTAACATTGCGGTGTCACATGGCTTGTATTTGGCATCATAAAAGCCACATCAATTGCCTCTATCTTTCCCCAGCCTAAATGTATGCAACCCTGTGTATCAAGGGAGTAGACAGGAGATCAATATTAGCTATCAAATAGAGACGCCTGCTATAAAGTGGCCTCTCAGCCGAACAGGCTGTTAAAATCCTGACTGCAGGAGCTTCTACTTACTCTAGCCACCTCCCACTCAGTACTTGGGGATTTATATTTTGGCAACAGTTAAGCAGCATTGGTTATTGATACACTGTCGAACTTAAACTATCCACTGAAATGGGAGTTATATTTGAGTGATCAATGGCAAAATATAATTATTCTACTTGTCTTCCACAACACCCTGAGGAACTTATTTCCATCAGCCTCTGTTATGAATTCTAATGATGAGATCTTCTCCAGATGAGTTCAGTTTAGAGCATGGCTACACCCGGTTTGCCATCAGGAAGATGCAAAGCGACACAGCATTGATGATTTTGATTGAAAGTGCCCTCTTCTGTGCAACACACCCTCCTACGTGCACTTATATGTAAGTATATATACAGTACCTGTTAATACAACATACCAAGACAACACATGGTGCAATTCACACATAGCCTCCCTCCCCAAAAGGCCAAATGCAGTGAAATTACCAGCAGGTAAGATGTCTATGAAAATATACATCAAAGACCACAAATACATGTCAACCTACATGAACATGGCACCGACAGCACGGGCCCCTAATGATTGTTCATTTCTGGCACAAGAAATATTTTAATCCTGTGAAATGGCAAGCTGACAGAGGAGCATACTCCACAAGCCTCCACGGAATGCCAAGACTTATGTGAAGGGCAATTCTCTTGGTCCTTCAAATGAAATAAGTTCACAAATAAAACAGTCATACCATCAGAATGAAAATGCACGAGATGTTTGGGGTATTACAAGTATATAATGTTGGGAGACAAAAACCATGTCATGGTCTCAGCTCTCTGTTCTTTACAGAAGGTGACTTTTTGGTATTGTGAACAAATCACTTTACATCATTTATTATCAACAAAGTACTGTACGCTTCTTGGATAAGTACTGGCATAAAACAACAACATTAAATGAAACAAACACATGGCAATTCCTAACAAATTCTTTGGATGTAAGGTACATGTACATGTAGCATAAGATTATAGTTTATATACATCTTTCTATCCTCAAGTAAAATATAGGCGGATTATCATGACACCCATGTTATAATGTGGTGGGTACCAGTGAGTTGAGTTTAAACCCATCTGTATGATGTAAGACTGATAACACTGTTGCGAGTTACAATGGAAAGAGATTGTGGACAACTTTTCAACATCAAAGTGCCCCCTTTAAGTAAACTATGTACCATCACTGGACTGTTTCTGTCTAATGTTATGGCCACAACATTTTTCCTGCCCAACTATGCAAACATTTATACAAGGAAGAATTTTTCAGCATTTATGTGGAAGCACACTATGAGTACATAAAAACCATAGATATGGATAAAGCCAGAAAGCGCCATGTTTACACCGATGCAGTAAATCAAGTGTGTACCCATCAACAAAAAGTCTACACAATGCAGTTTTGTGAATCTGATGTGGACTAAAGCTTGGCCCAGACAAGGTTAACCCCAAAACGTGAAGCACGTACTTCCTTGGTAAGGATAAAACCCTCTGATTCAACATGGCTCTATGGGGGGGGGGGAACAGAAATGTCAGACTCTTGAAGCGTGAGACCAAAGTTTGCCATCACTTTTCACGTGGATGTGGATCCAAACAAACATTTAGAGAGAAAAAAAAAGGGTTCAGATTTCTCTGAAGCCTTAAGGCCGGTTCACAGTTCATACAAAATTTAAGCATTAATGCAAAATTTTGCCTCATATGGCAAATGTTCATGGTGCAAATTTGAGAACACATTTCATTTCAAGCAAAGTTCAGTGATTTCAAAATTGCTGTGCTTTTGCTTAAAGTATAAACAAGCCCCAAGATGAAGCAGAGTAGAAACAAGGCCAAGATTTGAAAACCTTCCAGGCTGAGGGTAACTTGACATCCTTAACCACTTCGTGCTGGGCCCATTTATCCATGTTGATTCTGTTGGGCCAGGTAACTTTTCTTTTTTTTTCTGTTTTCAAAATTCTTTAAAAATTCATAACTTCATTTACTGGATGTTTACATCCACATGAATGACTATCTGGTGGCTACTCTAATCTGACAAACAACATCTACCGATGCCCAAGTATTTCAGCCAGGCCTGCCGCCTTGTAAAAAGAGCCCAGATTGTGCGGTGCTACGTAATTTTCTTTTGTTCCAAACCGGCACAGTGCACTGCTGGCGTCTTTTCAATAGGGGCCAGATTAGCATGCAGCGACACGGTATTGTATTGCTCATCACTAGAGCGCTTTTGTCCCCGGAGGTAATCCGCTCGCTCTGAATGCCAAAAACAGAGGTATAATCTTTCAAAACAATGATAGATTTCCTCCACTATTGACAACTGAAAAAATGTTGGCAATTCCCAGCAGCTCAGTCTTTTGTTCTGCGTACGGTCTTTTGGTACAAGGCCCAGCTCTTTTGTCCGGTTTCGGGCTCCCTGGCCTATGTCCCCCAAACCAGGTGCCCCGGCACGAAGTGGTTAAATGGAGATTTACATGTACATACACAGAATGAGGGGGGGGTGCTCCAGTCAGCTGACTGGCCACATGGGAGGAGCAGGCCAAGGTTAATTGGAAACCAAAACCAATCCCAGGGAAGCCATGAGATTCCAATCCCCTCAGGGGTGGAACATTAACATACCAAAAGTTCCCCTTCCCACTAATTCCATTGCACAATATATTAGGCTTCCTTGTGTCTGCGAAAAGAGTCCAACTATGCCAGAGGAAACTAATACAGTAAACACTGGTGCATCATAGAAATTCGCATGCACAGTGTAGAAAAGATCGAGTCGGACAATGTACATGTATCAGAGACATCATTCTGACCAATGTGGGTGGCCAGTTACCATTAACACTGACAGCTTTACACTGGTCAAAACAAGAAGAACATTTTAAAAGGGGCTTTAGTTTGTGATTGAAGAAAAATCATTTCTTGCACATGTGACCATGCATTAAAAATGAAATGCATACATATGAATACTGTTGTGGTGATATTTACCCTAATGAAAGCCATGTCATTACATCTTGGCCACAAAAAGGAAACAACAAACTGGTTTACATCAGAGCTGTAAAGAGTTGTGACATGAGTACCTCAATTGTTAAAACCAAAATGGGGGTTATGCATCAA